AAGTATGAGGATTAGTCACTGTAACTTTTTGCAGTGCCATTGTAGCTCCAGACAGTCGCTAAATGAATGGCCATAAGTCTAAGATTACCTTCAGTGGCAATAAGATGTCTCCATTTTTTTACTTCAGTTCCCATCAGCCTGTGTTGGCATGGACATGGGTTGGAAGATACTAAGATACTTATGTCGGCCCTTCTCTGAAAAGAATCCAAGATACACTGAGACCTTGTATTTCAGGGGGGAAAATGTGCAATCTGTTTATAAACTACAGCAATGTGCAAAAATGAGTTAATGAAAGTTTCTTTTAAAAAACAAAATAAAATTCTGATCTATTCTAGCCCTACAAAATGTTTTTATCCTTCATTTATTTATGCATCCATTTTTATTAGGCCTAGTATGGCCTAATAGTTTTATAGGCCTAGAATGCTATTTAAAGTCATAACCCCAAGAACTGAACCTCAAAAACAAATCACTCCCAACTTCCTAGCAGCCTTCTCCAACATGAAGCTCTCCAAATGTGCTTGAATTACAGCTGGCCAGAAGTTTCAGACAAAAGTTGGACATTTTGGAAGCTGCACATTCATAATTATTTGGAAGGCAAGTGTGCTGTGAAACACGTATAATAAAAGTACATTATTTAAGACAATTCTGGGAGTTGAAGTCCACACATCTTCAAGCTGCCAAGGTTAAGAAACACCATATAGCTAATATTCTGTGCTTTAATCTGCAGTGTTCAAAATTCCCAAAGAGAGGTTTTATTCAGTATAAAACTTTTAATGTGCCAACTTCTGACCTCACATAGGGCAACACTCCACCTCCCCCCACTTCCCAAAAAAGCCAGGCTGGAAGGAATGACATTTTCTTCTCCTTGTCTGCATTTCAAATTTCACACTCACAATTACTGTCAGAAATCTCAATAGAAGTGTTTTTTAACACTTTCATACACGGCATCTTGGTGAAAATTAATGCAAAGAACTTTTACAGTGTTTAGGAAAACAGTGGCAAAAGAACAGTAACTACATCACTTTCAAAATGCAATCAGAAAAATATCAAAAACATTCTTTATTTTATCGTAAGCAATGAGGTGGCTCTTTCTATGCTACTTTGTAAATCCAAGGAATAGCTGCCACTTGAACAAAGAACAATGTCCCCATGTTGTAGCTTAAAAATTAAGGAAAAGGAAAGGAAACTTTGCTGAACTTTAGACAGGATGTAGAAAAGCAAGGGGAATATGCTTTATTCAGCCTAGAGAGAAACTAAACAATGCCCACAGAGACATAAAAGGGTTGAATGGAGCATGAGCTTCTAGGTTGGGCACATTTCATTACCATAACAGCTATCACTGGATTAATTGCCAACCAGCAAAGAACACATAGCCAGGACAGGCTGTTCAAGGTTAGGCTAGGAAGAGGGCATGCCGGGCACTACAGCCGATTGGAGCAGGAGCTGTTATTAAATAGAAAGAAGTATTAGAAACCATCTGGTATGAAAGACAGCTCAAGTCAGAAAACACAAAGTTTGAAGCAGAGCTGGAAAACAGGGATGCACTTGAAATGGGCTGGGAATAGAATAGTATAATATTACCCATCAGTGAAGATCTGTCTGCTGTATTGTGTAATCATGAAAAGAATAAAGCATTCAAATACTGTACCAGATCCTTAGTATATCACACAATTCACTGGAATGACAATAATTGACTGATATGGCATGAAGACTGTCAGAGGCAGAACTCTCTGTTCAAATATTCAAAAGCATGCATGAAATATAACAGCCCACGCCCCAATTCTGTAGAATTTAGCTACAGAAGGAATCAGTCCCGAATTAGGTTTATATGCAGATGTATGAAAGCAATCAAGTAAGTTGCATAGGATCATTAGGGGCTGATGATTCTCAAATGGTTGCCTTTAATGTAAAAGGTAGATCAGAATCTGGAAAAATTATCACAGGTGGTACAATGAAAAAAATAAGCTGAATTAAATGAGCTGGCATTTGTACCACCCTGATTTAGCCTTACAGCAAACATACATAACTATGCATCATTACAGGACAGCCTGTTCAGATGAAGGACTATAACAAAACTTGATTTTACTGTATTAACATCAGCAATTATCAGTCAAATCAACAGTTTAATTTTAAAAATATCCTTAATGTCACACTTTAAACCACAAATAAGAATATTTAGCTTTGTATTTTTGTATACTATATATCAGGTCTGTTGACTTTCAGATTTTCCCAAACTGATCACCTACTAGATATATGAAATTACAATTCCCAGAATTTCTAGTCTGCATCACCAGAGCTGTTCAGCCGGTGAATAGCTGTCCAAAGAAATGAAGGGCATCAAATTAAGCAACCTGAGAACAAGTCTGCATGTTTTTTCATTTCCATTTTAAGTTATTTTACCAATGCTTTTAACAACACATTATTAAGTTTAGAATGCTATTTTGAACATGGCGTGCACATAACTTTTCAACTATTTTGCATTATTTGAAACATAGACAGCTAAAAATTCTGAGAATTATCAAAGAGCAAAGAAGAACTCAAGTTAGAAAACAGATGTCAGAGAATATTTGGGGGCTTTCCTTCTTGGATTGCTTATTCATCTTTGACAGCCATTGAGGGAGAGTACCAAACTGAGAACTTAATTTTGTATTGAATGGTAATGGCTCTCCAAAATTTTACACAACAGCTTTCTCAATCCTGCGTAGAAATTCCAGCAACTGAATCCGAAACTTTGTATACCAAATTTCTGTTCTATCTCACTAAAACTATATCCTGGTGAACTTATATCCTGCTTTTTGCAATAAACAGCTGAACGCTATTGGAATCCTGTAATCAAAAGCTTTCAGGTCCTACAGTTATTGGTTTTACACAGTTATAGCCAACAACACCATTATCAATATTCTTAGATAGATACTTGCATTTTAAGTACCAGAGCATGAATCCTATGGTACATATCTTTGCATCTTAAAAAGTAATAAAAGAACATGTTCCAAGCAGCACATCCTAATTAAATCTAGTTCCATTTAAATTCCCCAATGTCCTGGAGTGGCCTTAAATGAGAGGTACTCTGGGAAACTAAATGGCACAGTAGGGCACTGCTATTGTAACTGCTTTCTACTTTAGTGTGCCAATGCTATCAAAGTAGCTTCAGATTGCCCATGAAAAGTTTATTGTGCAGCCCAATATGCTTCAGATCCCACGTCCCTTATTAAGAGCAATTAAAACTGCTTTATTTCTTGTGGCTGTACACAGTTCTCCCATCTTGGTTAGAAATAAAAGGCAAGTAAATTGTGAACAGTCAGGAAAATGGAAGACATGTTCAGTGGCCTTGATTAAAAACCTGGGGTCTAGTGCTTCTCTGGGACTTGGAAAATTTTCTCTCTGTCTAATTTTGATTATCTATATGTCATCATCTCACCGTTTTATTAAATGATAATGTCACATGGACTGTGGAAATTATTTATCAGATAATAAATTGTTGCCAAATATATTCTTAATGAATTTGTCATTTTTAAAGTAATATTCTATTTCAAATGTACATAATATACATGTTCTTTCACAAAAACAAACAGCATATGGCTTTAATTCAGTTTGCAAAATGCATAGCTTTGTATATTATATTGAATAAAGACTCCAGAACTTGTATGTAACCATCCCTGATAAAATATAATAGTCAGACCAGAGAGCTGAAGCCATTATTAGAGGAAAATTAATATGGTTATTGTTTTACTTCAGACAGAAGCAACAGAGAAAGTTTTTTTAAAAGCACAAGTTATGTTCTTTGGAAACACAAATTCATTTTCCAATAAATCCTTCCCCCTACAAGCAAGCCATGTTTTGGTGCTCCTACAAACATGTTGTACAGAACATCAGGAAATACAAAAATCTCCTTATCACCCTTTCTACAGGCCTTTGGGCTTTGAATTAGCTTGCATATGTTGGTGGAGATAGGGATGTGTTTTAGGCATGTTTTTGAGGTGATGCGGACGCCAGTTTTTGCATTTCAATCCATGTGCTTAGAATATAAGATTCATAGAGATTTGAATATGCTTTCAGCTCAATATTACACAGCACAATTCTAAAGTTATTTATCAGTTGTATATATTTCATCTCTGGGTAGTAAATTATCATTATATATTGAATCAATTTGGGAATTCGGTTTTCATAAACTGTAAAAAACCATCTAATCTAGATTTGAGTGATTACTCGTTTTCTAATTTCCAGTACTATGATAATATATTATTTATATTATTTCATCAATGTGTTTGGGTAGGACACTTTTTAAAACAAAGATTAAGTTTATAAAATAGTTTTAATGTTTTCAGTTAACTTTGTATCTCTATAAAAACCAACATTTTGTTTTGTAAAATTATAGAAATGCTTTCTTAATTCCAAATGTTTAGGATAACCTTATTCATATCATTCTTTTGTAAGAATCCAGAAAATTTTTATACACTTTGTGAGGATGAATTATTTTGATATGGGATATTAGAAATACATCATATTAATGCCACAGTTCAGTACTTTTTAGAGGATTTTGTTAATTTCTGATCATAATCTATCCCCCCACTCCAGTGCAGGCACGAAACAATGCTTTGATGTCCTTCTGCACATCAGTATATTTTCTTTCAAAGGTTTTAGAGAACTTCCTCATGATCATTTTCATAATTCTTTTAAAATGCTATCTTTAATCACTGTGTCCTATTAAACTTATTTCACTGTTGTTCCTACTGCTTCCCTGCAAGATAATCTCATAGCTGTTTGATGGAAATTTTAACAAGCATGTCATCGAACACAAAGTAATATTCCTCTTCCAATTTAAGAGAGCCTTCCAGAACACACCAACAAAAATATGACAAATTGCCCAAATCCAGCTTCTGAAATATTTTTAGGATTTTTCCAATCTCAGAAGTACATAAGAAAGAGAAAAGAAAGAACTAATGCTGGGGGTGGGAGAGAGAGAGAGAGAGAAAGAGAGAAATAATTCAAAGCTTACTTACAGGCATTCCATTATAAGTCTTTCCAGGCATTGAAATATAGTCTCTTTGGGGAAAAGAGTTTGCTCCCAGCAGCATTCAGACAATTGGTCCCATTATAGCGATCATGAGGCTGAATTAAAGAGTAGCCTTGCAAAAACATAAACAGCTTGTCAGCACAACCAAAGAGGTGGGACTTAGTCTCATGGGACAGTTCCAGCCAATGATCAGCCTCTTTGGCAACTGTTTGGTTAAGATATAGTGTTTCATTCTTAAAAGGAGAGTGGGGGAATGAGAAAAGCCCACAAGAATAACTGTGCTCATAAATGAATAGGAGCTAAAAAATGCTTTGCACAGGGAAAAAGTAAATCATTCTGTGGAAGGCATCACGTAATGTTTTCTATGAGTCCAGTAGATTTTTAAAAGTATAGACAGACTGTTGGACATTTTATTTTGCACTGAAAATTACAATGTCATGTAGATTGTCATGAGTCCGCAAGGAGAAGGGCGGGATATAAATGTAATTAATAATAATAATAATAATAATTACAGCTTTATATTGCCAAATCTGGTAACAAATGCCATGCCATGACTTTGGGCCACTATTTCTCAGATTAGCCTTCCACTAGAGCAGAGGTGGGTCACTATGATCCCTTTACGACCATGCTGGCTCAGGAATTCTGGGAGCTGAAGTCCACAGGTCATAAAGGGGCCAAAGTTGCCCCCTCTGAAGTAGAGGAATCCTCCAAGAAAAAGAGGAAAAATTATCAGGGAAGCCTACAGGGAATTCTATAAAACATTTCAAAATTGAAATGGCTAGTTTTCACATTTGGGACTGGCTGTCTCTATAATTCTGAAAGTGTTTCAAACTCAAATCAGTGCTTCAAACGTTTCTAAAATGATTACAACAGTCTTTGTAATTTATTAACAGTTCCAGGCAATGATCAGCCTCTTTGGTTAATGTCTTATTAAAATACAGTGTATTATTCTTAAAAAGATAATGGGAGACTGAGAAAATCCCACTTATTCCCCCAATTGTATGCAAACCAGGTTGAATTCTCAATATTTTTCACACAGCTACCCCCTAAATAAGGTGGCTAAGATTTATGGTCCAAAATATATAAACTATAGGTTGATTATCAACTCCTAATACAGGTAGACCATGTTTATCAACCACAGCTGGGTCTGGGAACTCAGTCATTAAATGAAACTCTTGCTAAGTGAAACCATGACCATGTTTATGATCTTTTTTCAGCTTTCCTTTCCTTTACTGACCTGTAATGGTTGTAAATGCGAGGATTGTTTGCCAAGTTCCTTTTTTTGTAACTGTGGTCACGAAACACAAATTACCTGTACATATATATGCACAGATTACACATAATATTGTTACATCCTGGGGAAAAAGAGTGAAATAAAATTATTATGAATAGCTTTTCTCTGAGAAGACGAAAGTGTTTATCTTGCTACTTTAAGGATTAGTGCTTCATTTGCAATACTTTCTAGGATAGAATGTTATGAATTTTCATAACATATTCCTCAAATCAATCAGAGTTTCTGGTGGAATCATTAGATGACATTCACATACTTCATCAGGGCTCTGGGTACCAGATTAGATATGGTAAACAAGTAGATACGATTCTAACAATTTTGGTTTCCTGACTTTTTTGGGAAGCTCACATTATACCACTAGCAATTAAACTGTAATTATATATTAGCAGCATATACAAGGACCTCATACTTTTTTCTGAACTGCCTGAATATGTTCTGATGTATCTTTTCCACTGCCCTAACTTCTGTCAGAATGTATTACTTGCTTTCTGAAAGGCTATTTTGCAAACACAATGCCAAAGCTGTAGTTTTGGTTTCCATTCTCTATGTGGGTGAGTACTCCATTTGATGGCAGCTTGTTGTGTTCATGAAAAGGGCAGCAATATTGTCAGGGCAGGGAGAGGCTCCACTTGGCTCTGGTCTACTGAAAGTACCATTGCTCAGCTTGCCTAAGGACCAGCAATTGTTAGCTATAACAATACAATCTTTCAGCAAATTTTTTTGTAAAATGTCATGGGAAGATTCTGGTGCCATCCACATGACATTTGGTTTTCTTTTTTAATGAATTCTTGCTCAGTTGAACCTCTATTATTGCAGCATTAAATATGTACTTTGTTCACAACGCAACAGAACTGTAACTAATTGCAAAATTCACTGAAAAACAAACTGAAAAAACATATATGAGTCTTTCTAACAAACTTGCCATTTTTTTTCAATCTTAGTAAATACAACAAAATGTGAGTACAAGGTTAACCTTTTTTCCTTGTTACTACACAATTTTTTATTCTCTTCCAAATATTGTTACCTGCAGAAAGAAGAATGGCTACTATTTACTGGAATCTGTTTGAATAAGCTCTAAATGCAGTTAGAATGATTCTGAATGAGCATGAACCCAATCATTTCAGATTCTAAAGTAAAGTTTATGATATAGCATACATAATTCCAGACATTTATGTAATTTTGATCATACATTCTCAAAACAGATTTTTACAAATATCAAAAAAGTTTCTTTTTCTACTTGGCAAAGCTGAAAAAATAATGCATCCTTGTCAAATCTTATGCCATCCAAATGTGTTAGGATGATAATGGCCAGGACTCTAGGCCAGCATAGCCAATGCTGGATTGGCAAAGGATGACTTGTATTTGCATTTTTATTCCAAATAAAAGCTTGTCTAAATCTTTGGATCTAGGAAACTACAATTATATGGGATGACGTAGATATAAATTTTCCACATTGAGGGAAATTGAGTTTAAATCAATGATTCAGTTAACAACCATATTACTAACTAACTGCAACGATTGACTTAACAACTTAAAAATAACTATATGTAAAAGAATTGAAATGGAAACGGTCTGGTCACATAGCAAGAACTAATGGCAGGTAGACGAAGGCAGTCATAGAATGGATCCCACTTGATAAAAAGCATCCATGAAAGAGACCTAAAACAACATGGATTGACGACATCAGCAAGCATTGTGGGCCCAATTGGCAAAAGAACGCTCAGGACTGTATAGGTTGGAAACATGCGGAAGAGGCCTTCATCCTGCAGTAGATAGACAATGGCTAAAATGATATATAAAATAATAAACTATATGTAAAATAAAGGAGTCATGGTGATACAATGGTTATAATTCAATATTGCAGGCTACCTCTGCCCACTACCAGGAGTTAAGGTTGACTCATCCTTCCATCCTTCCGAGGTCAGTAAAATGAGGAACCCAGATTGTTGGGGGCAATATGCTGACTCTGTAAACTGCTTAGAGAGGGCTGTAAAGCAGTGTAAAGCACTATGGAGTGGTATATAAGTCTAAGCGCTATTGCTATCCTCTTTATGTAGTTTTCAAAGCCTCAAATTCAAGCAATTTTCATTTATATCTAGTAGCAAGGGAATCCATATCTATGTATGTCAAAAAAAAAAAAAAAAGTGAAGATGGAGCCACAATTGTATGATCGAAATCCTGCTCCTTTTATACAGTATATATTCATCTTTAACAATGGGAAGGTTTCAATGCAATTGTGATACTGTCTTAACTTTCTTTTTTAGTCCCTACAAATACCCATCTAGTTCATTTTTTTTTCTTAGTTTTAGACACATAGCATATCTATTTTTCTTTCTTTTACTACTTTATGTTCTTTACCATTTATTTATTTTACATTCCAAACTGTAACAATATTCCATGTGGTATGATCCATGTGTCTGAAAGTAGTAATCTCTCTCTCTTTTTTTTTCTTTGAGCTTTTAAGTCCCTGCATTTTTGGCAATTTTTTTGCTATTCTTTCTTTCCTAGGGTTGACAGAAAATGACTGGCCCAAGCTCAAACAGCTTTCTTTTTAAGGCAGGATTAGAACTCTTGATTTCCTAGTTTCTGGCCTAATGCCTCAACCATTACACCAAACCTGCTCTCCTTTGTCTGCAGGTGCCCTTTTACTCTCACCGCCCAACATTCTGCTTGATATCTTACGCAAATTACATTTGTGTTAAGTAATGTCATTTGTATAATTATGTCTTCACTCCAATGACATGAATGATGTTATTTCCATCGTTAGCATTGTAATAAAGATATACTTTTCAATTTACTGGACTCTGGGAATATTTATTTATTCAGTTTCTATATGTACCCCTTACAATTCAATAATAATAACTCTTTCTTCCCTTAATTTTGTTAAATCAAGCTAGATTTTTTTATGAGCAGTTGTGTTCCATTTTATTCTGCTACTTCCCAATTCCATTTTCTAGGGGGGGGAAAACTTCTACTGCTTGTTTATTCTACTCTTTTCTCCTGAAGCTTTTGCAGGCTCAATTTTTCAGACTCCCCCTATATAGATTCTAGTTAAGTGCAATAATTCCAGCAGAGTCTTTATTTAATATAGCACAGGATATATGCTTTGATAAATCTATCTTTATCATCATTCAATATGTCATCCTTCCTACATTTACTTTCAGACTCAATATGTAAGGTCTAAAATCTGTATAGTCCTGAATTGGATCCATATTTAGCCAGATTTGAAAAATAATCTACTATGTAACTTGGTTGACTTTGAATCTTACAGAAATCCATTTTGTTTCAAAAGGATTGGTTTAGTGTAAATTGTAAAGCCAACTAATTGCATGAACAACCCTCCCCTCGGGCTACAAAGGCAACTGGGACCAGGTTAGCCATCACTCAGTGCATAGACATAAAGCACAATGTCACATGATTGCATCATTTAGCGAAAGTAATCCCAGTTATTCTAGTTCCTGTTATAACCCCAGGACACATGGGTGGGAACAAGCAAGAGTCTCAATTGAGGAGTGATGGGGCTGCACAGATGTATAGTGCTACAGGCAAGCAGATATTATGGAAGGAGAATAGGCAGGGATACTACAGAGAGCAAGATCTGTGTGCTCCTTGAGAGAAAAAGCAATCTAAGACGCCCCCCACCCCCCTCAGCTTCCCATTGACCTTGCTTATGGGAGCCTGAAATGATTACATGACACAGCTTGCTGTGATGTTATAATCCAAAGTTACTGCAGAGATTCTGACCATAGGGGATGCTGCAATGGCCATAACTTGGGGACTGGCATAAATCCATTTTTTTCAGTGCTACCATAACTT